CAACTCCAAATAGAATTGAAGGGTCAGTACGTCTGATCTGTGCCATATAAAATACACAAGCACAGGTGGGCAGAATCGGTCCTCAAATATCCCTCCTCCTGGGTATGGTTTTTTTTTTCCAAAACCACATTTAGAAATTAGTGACATACAACATGACTAATGTGGAAATACGTTTCACATGACTGCACATATATTACCTATGTCAAATTGTTTACTGTCTTAGGGAAGAGGGAGATAACAGAGGGACAGAAAAAATTTAGAACTCAAAATTTAAAAAAAAGGATGTTAATATTTGTCTTCACATGTAATTGGAAAAAATAAAATACTATTAAAAAGAAATTCACAATATTAAAAAAAAGGAATTAGTGACACAGAGTAATTTTCAAATATGCACTTCAAATCATGTACATGGCTCTCTCTCTGTTCCTGCCTAATTCAATAACACCCAAAGTGAGGTGCTCAATTCATGTTTTTGAATGGATTTGTCACCCCTTCCCTTTTTTGACTCAGGACCAGCCATGAGAGAATACTATAGAGTAGATGATTTACTCATAAGAAATCAAGAGTTGACTGTCTTTGAGAGAGTAATTGACTCCCACATGAGTTTCTAATCATGTGAAAACTTCAGAACTTTGAATAACAACAATAACAGTAGCTCACATTTTTATAGCATGCTAAGGGATTAGTTTTTCTTTTTGGATCAGACTTGTAATTTCATGGGTATAAGAACTCCCAATGAGGACACTATCTACCAATGCATTTCAGCACCTGTTCTGTAATACATAGTCTTACAGGGTGAAGTTAAGTGCCTAACTGGGGCCTGGGGGGTCATACAGCCCATATATGTCAGAAGTCTTCCTGACTCAGAGGCCAACCTCATATCCAATCTGCACTTTGCAAACAGTAACATTTACAGAGTACTTTTCTCACTGCAACCTCATGAGGTCTGTAAATCTTATTATATTCATTTTGCAGATAAGGAAATTGAGATTTAGAGGTCAAGAGGTCCATAGATATGTAGCATAGCTCAGAGCTTGGATTTGAAATAATAGCGCCTGACTCCAAATCTGGTACTTTAACTGGACCCCTTTCCAACTGAGGTCATAGTAGAGTCCAATTATGGACTTTTAAGTAGCCTTTGGCATGTCCCTGAGACTGTTCATCTCTCTGCCATAGTAGTAAGGAAAAGGGTCAGTGTGGTAAAGAGGAAAGGGGAGGATTGTTCTTAATGTTAGGTTTATATGGAAGTTTAGGAGTCGTTTGTATGAATTTAAAGACAAAACCTTCAGCAATTAAGGTTGAGGAATGGTACCTGTAGATCAGCTATCTCACTTCCTTAGGCCTCAGTTTTCTGACCTATAAAATGAAAAAGTTCAACAAATTGATCTTTAATGGTCTTCATAATATTTCTAAATGTTCTGCTGTTACTTAAGACAGATCTAAAAAATGCTGATAAGCAATCACTGCTTTCATACAGGCCGATTTCAACCTATTAAAAAGATTTTGTTCCCAAAGTTCTTATCTAGGTAACTTATTTAGAATAAAGAATACATTTCTCCATAGAAAATAAAGTTACATTTTGGTTCCCAGGCCTGCCTAGCAAAAGCCTATGGTTATAATGCCTGAAATGTGGACCACGGCTGCATGTGGGTACCAGTGTTTCTCTGAGAACAATCTTTTTGGTTTTCCCCTGTAAGGCCAGTTTTAAAATCATTCTCCACTGCAGACCCAGCAATATTCACACAAAATCTCAGCTTTGGAAAGGACCCCAGACACCATTTAGTCCATCCTATATGTGGACAAGAAACTCTTCTGCAAGAGCTACAACAAGTAGTAAACCAACCCTTACTTGTAGACCCACTTGTAGTGTTGGGAATCGTTCTGACTTATGACCTTTCTATTTTCCACTGACATTCATATTTTTTTCAGGTCTTGAGTCCCTTGCCTATCTTCAAAAGCTCCTTCAGGGGGCAGCTAGGTGGCACAGTGGATACAGGACCAGCGTGGATTCAGGAGGACTTGAGTTCAAATCTAGCCTCTGACACATAACACTCACTAGCTGTGTGACCCTGGGCAAGTCACTTAACCCCAATTGCCTTACCCAAAAACAAACAAACAAACAAAAAAACCCAAAAGCTCCTTCAGGAGAAAAATCAGACATCAATTTGGCAAATCCATATTAAGTGCTTATTATGTGTAATAATGGTAGGTTCTCCTTCCCTAAAGATAAAAATGAAATAATCCCTTTTCTCAAAGAATTTGAATTCTATCAGGGAAAAACATGTAAACATGTAAGGAAATATAAAGTTTATACAATGTAGGTACAAAATAATTTTAGGGAGGTGCCAATAGCTAGGATAATAAGAAAGCCCTCATGTGGGTGATGGCACTTGAGCTGAGTTTTGAAGAGTTTGAGGAATTCTTAGAGGCTAGGGTGAAGAAGGAGGGCATTCTAGGCTGTCCACTGGACAGCCAGTCAAAGGCAGGGAATCAGGAGATGGAATGTCTTGAAGGAAGAACAAAAAGTAGGCCAGGTTAGCTGGAGCATAGAGTGGCATGAGGGGAAGGATTTTGTAATGAGCCTGGAAAGACAGGTGAAGGTCAGATTGTGAAGGACTTGAAATACCATGTAGAGAAGTTTGGATTTTATCCTAAAGGCAAGAGGGAGGCATTGGAGCATTTTGAGCAGGGGAGTAAAGTGGTCAGATCTGTACTTTAGGAAAATCGATATAGTGGAGAAGACAGCAATTTGAGGCAGAGAGGTTGATTAAGAGACTATTGTGTTAGTCCAAATGAGAAGTGATGAGGGTCCAAACTTAGGTGGTTGTGCTGTTAATGGAAAGGAGGATACTGATATAAGAGATGTTTTAGAGGTAGAATCAGCAAGACAAAGCAAACGATTGTATATAGGGGGGTAAGAGAGAGTAAAAAGTCAGGAATGACTATGACACTATGCCCCTGGGTGATTGAAAGGGCTGTGGTGCTCTTGCCAGAAATTAGGAAGAGGTATGGCTTTGAGGGAAAAGATAATGAGTTCTGTTTTGAATATAATAATTTTGAGATGCCCACATCCAATTAGAAATCCATAGGGAAATATTCAATATGCAGTTGATAAGGGACTGAAGTTTAGGAGAGAGACTAGATTTAGACAAATAGATCTAGGAGTAATCTGTATACAAATGATCATTGACCCATTGAACCTGATCAGATCACTGAGAGAGAGTGTGGGGGTGTGTGTGTAGAGAGAGAAAAGAATAGGAGCTGGGGCGGAGCTTGAGCTACACACACAGTTAAGAAATAAAACATGGGTAATGATCCAGCAAGGGAAACTAAAGAGGGTCAAGCAAAGAGAAGAAGCACTAAGAGAGAACCAGGTCACAAGAACTAGAGGGGAGAGTGTCCAAGAGGCCAGAGTGGTCAACAGGAAAATGCTGCAGATAGTTCAAGAGGGACGAAGTTGATAAAAAAAAAAAAGTCACCCTATTTGGCAATGGAGAGACCATTGGTAACTTTGGATAGGACAGTTTTAATTAAGGCAGATTGCAAAGGGTTAAAGTGAGTAGGAGGAAGTAGAAGCAATGAGAGTAGATAGCTTTATTTTTTTTTAAAGAGTTTAGCTATGAAAACAGGGGAGAAATATAAGATAATAGCTTGAATGATAGTAGGGTAGAGTAAAGGATGCAAAGTAAAGTAAAGTTTAAGGATGAGGAAGTCTTCAGCATGTTTGTAGGCAGCACAGACTATACCAGTAGATAAGGAGATATTGAAGATTATAGAGTAAGGTGGGATCAAATGTATGTGTAGAGGAATTGACATTAATGAGAAGGGTCACCTCCTCATTCAAGACCAGAACAAAGAATCGGAAATGAGGACAAGGGGATAATTTTCATGGTCTCAAAGGGAAGAAGAGATCAATAAAGGAATTGGCACTTGGACTTTGGACTTTGACTCACCCATTCTATAGTGTTTTTGGTGACAAGGGAAGAGGACACTTAACTCTGTCTTTGATAAAGTGCTTGCTTTGAATGAATTCATATACCTCTCAGTTTCCAGCATGACAGTTTAAACTTGGCCTTTTCACCAATATGTTTCCCAAGGAGCAGTTGGTCTATGCTTGTGATTTATTTCCAGAGAGAGCAACCCATCTAACAAATTCTGTCACTATCTGGTGATAAAGGAAACAATGGGGATTACATTGGTATAGACCTGCAGTTTCAAAGGCTGTACAGGCAGCAGAGACTTAAGCTTGTGCATCAGAGCCCAGATGGATGTTGGACCTCAAGAGAGAGAATTGTTCAACACTTTTTCATCTTTAATTAGATGCCAATTTCATTGACATGTAAGTTGGGTGGCATTCCCACCCAACAGAATTTAGTCTTTAATTTGTAATGTAATAGAATTATTCCTGTGAGTGACTAAGTATAAATCCTGAATAATAATTTGGAGAAACACTTAGAAAAAGGAGCCATTTCATTTGAAGGAAGCAGTCTGGGGGAGAAGCATTGGGACTAAGAATCGAGAAACTTTTATTCATTCAAAAAAGCATTTCTTAAGCTTTATTTACATTCAAAGCTTTATGCTAGGCACTAGGAATATGAAGATGAGAAAATTAGTCCCTGCCCTCAAGAAGCTTACTGACCAGATACAATGTTTACACAGTTAAGTAATTTTAAAGAGGGCAAATATTCTAACACCTGAGTGGAAGGGGGCAAGTTTGTTCTTTTCTTGTAGTTGAATCACCAGATCCTATAACACAGTAGGTTTTTAATAAACACTAGGCTAGTATGCCTCCATCTCTCCTTCTGCAAAATAAGTGACACCACCCAATTCATTTCTGAAGTACCCTGTTATTAATGAAATCAGGTCAAAAACTCAGTTGGCACTTTTGGATATGGTTTTTGTCCAAATACAAGATATTAAGATTTTTTCAAAGCAAATATTATCATAGGAAGCACTTTAGCAAATGCTCATCTAACTCGCCCGATTTCTATTCATTCCAGGTATCCCACTCAACCTTGTCGATTTGGGAAACTCCTATTGCTTCTGCCAGCCTTACGCTCCATTAGCCCATCTACAATAGAAGAAGTGTTTTTCAAAAAAACCATTGGCAATGTGCCAATTACGAGACTGCTTTCAGATATGTACAAATCCAGTGATATCTAATCTCTGCTGAATATTCATGGTCTTCAGGATGGACAGTGTCAGATGAACTTTTACCTTTGGAGAACAAGCCTCAACTAACAAAACCTTCAGGAAGCATAAACCTGGGAATGTGTAGCCTTTGGAGGAAAAAAAAGTAAAAGAATTAATTGGCACAAGACTATTCCAGTAGATATGACCTGCTGCCTCTACAGAAGATTGTAGATCTGAAGAAAAGGCATTGCTTGATAGGACACCCCGAGTGGAGAGAACTCATCAATTTCCCTTCTCCCTGGGAGGGGCTCACGACTGTGGTTGCCACTGGCCATGCTATTCTATCACTCACCAAGAAGATGATTCTGATATAACAAAAGCCAAAATACAGTATTTCATTTTTCCTTTTCAGTATATGAAGTTGGATTACCAAAAATTACTCTGGAGGTAATACAATGTACTGCAGCCTTCAGAAAGTAACTTAAGTTGACAAATTTGTTCTGAATACAGTGGGCAACATTCTAAATCAAATACTTCACCAAACACTTTTCTTCTGTTGTAAGACATTGTCAAGTGGCCTTCATTATGAATTGAAAAGTGTTTTATGTTATTGATTATCTCCCCCCCCCTTTCTTTTGGCCATTGAAGGCCAGGCAACCCTATCAAATCAACTGGTGAACATAGATGACTCTCTCATCAGGACTGCAGTTTGGATAACATCTCAAAGACAGAAGACTTTTGCAAAAAGAATACAAGTCAAAGAAGGAAGAATAAAACAGCAAAACCAAATAAAGCAGAGATGTCTCTCTGAGTGAGCTGATTGCTGTCCCGTTGGCATAGTGCTGAAACCAAAGGCAATGGGGTCCGAACTCTTGGTCCAATGAGACATGCAGAACAGCAACTGAATATACACAGCACGCTAGAATGAACTTCAAAGAGATAGACACTAAAAGGTTTCTTAATTGATAAACTGCTAACAGTCTCTGAGACTCTACAATGCCTTTCAGAAAACTTTGGGTCCTAAGTAAAGCCTTGTTCACACACACATACACACACACACACACACACACACACAATGTTACACTATACGCTGCTTCTTTGATATGAGACTATACTTATGGAAATGTAGAAACAAACATTTGAAGATAGCTGCTGTACTTTTCATGTTTTGATTTGTTATTAGATACTAGCCCTGAGAAAAATCAGCACTTGGACTATCATAGGATGAGTAAAACTTTTCTTGTACAAAGTGAATTAACAGATTTGTGAAGTTAAAAAGTTGTACTCATTGTATTTACAAAGAATAAAATATATATTGAATTTAAATCATCTTCCCTTTATTTTATCAATGTCTCTTGCTAGTTTCTATCCCTTAGATACAAAGTAATATCAACACTTACTGTTAAATACCTAGAGCTCACATTATGCTCCACACTGGATGTGCAAAGGATTGTGAGACAAAAGACTTTTTTTTAAAATAGTGACTCTCATGTATAAAAATCATAAATAAAGAAATAAAACAAAAACTGTTCCCTACATCTCTCAAATAGAACTGCATCTGTATGGAAAAAAATTTACTTACTGGGAGAAAGAGGCTGATTAAAACAGGTTTTGTTCATCTCTAAATTCTTACTATCTTGCCAACATTTCAATCTGGCCACAAATTTATTTTTTCAATAATCAGAAAAAAGTCATGCAAAGCTAGACAGAGTGAGTGGATAGTGAGAGATAAGAGGTGATTGGAGGAGAAACGGCAAGAGAAAGGGCAAATGGACTTCAGATCCAGATGTTCAAAACTGCAGGTCATCAGCACTTTCTTCCGAGCAAATAGAGGTAGAAAAAATGGAGGAAATCTCACAGTCCTCGATTCTACTGTTTGTCATCATTCCTAGGAAAGGTTTGCTTACTGAGGGAATTGAAACTATTGATTAAAATGAAGACTGGAGATGATATGCTGATTTCAATTCATCTCGTTCTCCATAGTCATCATGAGCATAGCTAATTGAGAGCTGGCCTTAAAGAGAAAAAGGGTGAGATTCACTACAAGATTCCACAAATTGCTGACCACCCAGAACAGGAATCACCTCAATTTCTGGCAACTCTGATTTACTTTTAAAGACTCAAATTATGCTAAATCATACACTTCACCAAATGCTTTCTTTCTGTTGTAAGACATTATCAAGTGGCATTCATGATGGATTGAAATGGATTGATTTTGTTATTTAATCTTCTTCTCTTTTTTGGCCATTGAAGGCCAGGCAACCCTCTCAAACTCACCAGTAAACATAGATGACCATTTTCTAGGAGGTGGCTAGGCTCAACAACCTGCTGGGGAGTCTCCTTGTAACACAATCTTGTGGGTCCACAACTTACCCAACCTTCTATGTTTAAGTATCATATAATGAGTTCTGTTTGGCACTTCAGCAATGAAATATCCTTGAATAGGTTTCAAAACAGAACTCACATATACTAAACTCCATGAAAGTATGGACCATGACATAGAGTTTTTTTCCAACTTTCCCAGAATCTGGCACAATTAAATAAATGAATGAATGAATGAATGAATGCTAAATTCTCTCTAGTTTAGGTTCTAGCATGTTCTTTCAATGATAAATTTCCAAATAAATTCTTTTCATCAGTTATTTCTTTATTAATATTATTCAACAGAGTACTAGAGAAAATGAAAAAAAAAGCTGAGGTAAGACACAGTACTTGCCTTCAGGTATCTTATAATCTAGTAGAGGGAATATAATAAATTTTGTTAATGTCCAAGAAAGCAGGGATGGAAATAATGTCTGATGATCCACAACAGTCTAAGATCAGTGATTAATATCTCTCTTCTGGCACAGTCAATACCTATACATATAAAAGGGATTTCACATACCCCAGACAAAATATGAGATTTTCACAACTCTGAATGGCAATGACATAATTACAGTAAGTGATTGGGAGGCATCAGACCCCAGATAGACACACCCCAAATTTGATTATTAGAAGTAGCCCTTAATTCTTTTCTTTTTTGCTTTCTAATTTTTTTACTATTTTAAAATTTTCATTTTTTTTTCCAATTACTGAAAACCCATTATCTGTCTTCCCATCTCTCCTCCCCCATTGAGAAAGAAAAACAAAACCCTTTTGCAAACATGTATTGTTAAGCAAAATAAATTCTCCCATTGGTCATATTCAAAGGGGAAAAAATATCTCAATCTGCCCTTGAGTCTATCACTTCTCTTTCAGGAGGCAGGTAGTACCCCAGTGGGTCTACTAGAATCACGGTTTGTCATTGCATTGATCAGAGTTCTAACGTCTTTCACAGTCATCTCTACAGCCATGTTGTCATTGTATAAATTATTCTCCTGGTTCTGCTCATTTCACTCTGCATTAGTTCATATAAATTTCCCCAGGTTTCTCTGAAACCACCCTCTTTATCATTTCTTATAGCATGGCAGCGTTCCATCATGTAATTTATTCAGTCATTCCCCAGTTGATGGATACCCTGTCAGTTTCCAATTCCTTGCCACCACAAAAACTGCTGCTATAAATAATTTTGTACACTTACGTCCTTTTCATCTTTCTTTGATCTCTTTGGGATATAGACCCCATAGTGGCATCACCGGATCAAAAGGTTATGCACAGTTGAATAACTTTTGAAGAACAGTTCCAAACTGCCTTCCAGAATGGCTACACCAGTTCACAGCTCCATCAACAGTGCCATTGATAAACCTGTTTTTCCACAGCCCTTCCAGCATTTGTCATTTTCTTTTTTCATGTTGTTTGCCATCAGATGGGTGTGAGGTGGAACCTCTGAGCTATTTTAATTTATGTAATTATTAATGATTTAGAGGATTTTTTATGTGGCTAATAATAGCTTGGCTTTTTTTCTCTGAAAATTGTCTGTTCATATCCTTTGACCACTTATCAATTGGGGAATGGCTCTTATGCTTATAAATTTGAATCCATTCCCTCAGAAATGTGACCTCTATCATAAGACCTGTTGCAAGGATTTTTTTCCCTTTTGCCTACTTCTCCTCTAATTTTATTTGTATTGGTTTTGTTTGTGCAGAGACTTTTTTAATTTTATGGATCCAAAATTGTCCATTTTACCTCTTGTGAGCCTCTCTCTTATTTGTTCATGATCCTCTTCTGCTATCCATAAAGCTAAAAGCCAATTTCTCCCTTGCTCCTCTAATTTGTTTATGATGTCACCTTTTATGACCCCAAACTCTCTATATGTTCTCATCATTAAAAAGAAAATTACTATATCTTGCTTTGGTGGGAGATGACATTGTAGTGCAAGCTGTATTGTTGGGATTCTTGTGAGGGGCTTTTGTTTTATTTTATTTTCAAGTTGGTTGGGGCATCTAAGAGGAGAGGATAAATTGAAACCAAAATTATTTCACTTAAAGCAAAAGATTTCAAGTCCTAACTAGAAACTGATGATTGCATGTTTCTGCTATTGACTCAACTTACTGGCTTTGTCCTTCATGTAACTTCTTCAAGTATCAAGAAAAATCAAGAAAAAATAATCAAGAAAAAATATCTGTGGATTAAGCACTTCAACTTGCACATATTTTGACTTAGACTACAAAGTCCTTAGTTAGATGGCTGCTTCATGGGCACTGTGCCCATTTAGCAAAATAAAGGGAAATGTATTTCTTTTGAATTTCATTTCAAAATGTCTTTCTTTTCAAATATTTGAATTCAGATCTTGGCCAAAATGACTCCTAAAATAATAAGTAACTTTCAGAGTGTGCCCACAGGCAACCAGTTGAAACAGTGGGTAGGGCACTGGGCCTGGAGTCAAGAAGACCTTACTTTCAATCTGATCTCAGATACTTACTAGTCATGAGACATTGGAGAAGTCACAACCTCTCTTAGCCTCAGTTTACTCAGGTCTAAAATGGGGATAATAATAACACCTACCTTACAGGGTTGTTGTAAGGACCAAAATGAGATATTTGTAAATCCCTTAGCACAGTGCCTGGAATATGGTAACCCTTAATCAATGTTTGCTTACTTCTTTCCATGAAGTTTGAAGTTGGTTAGCTCAATGCCTCCCAGGCTTTGCAGTATGTGACACATCTTTGAATTGACTATCCAAGAGATGAGGAGAATAAGATTGTAAGCTCCTTGAGGGCTGGGATTGTCTTTTGCCTCTTTTTGTATACCCAGTGCTTAACACATTACCTGGCACATAGTAGGTGCTTAACAAATGTTTATTGATTGGTTAGGGGAGATGAAAGCAGAAGTAGCCTAACACATAACACAACAGTTTCTATTGTAGAGAGTATTTCCTGTCTGGGAACTCTAAGGCCAGTCTTGCTCCTACTTCATACATCTCGGATGTATCACCTTTCTGCATAGAGATAGAATCATGATGAGTCATTGCATTGACTAGAGTTCTTAAATCTTTAAAGTTCTTTTTCTTTATAGTATCATTGTTATGGAATAAATTGTTCTCTTGGCTATGCTTACTTCATTCAGCATCAGTTCATTCAAGTCTTCAAAGATTTCTCTGACATCATCCCTTTCATAATTTCTTAAGGTATAATAATATTCCATTACATTCATAAATCATCATTTTTTGCTTTTAACAAATTTTATTGATATCTTTTGGTTCATATTTCACTAAATTTTCTTCCAATATTTCTCTTCCTTCCCTTCATAGAGAATCATTCCATATAACAATTTTTTTAAAGAAAAAGGAGAGAAAAAATCAGAAAAACTGATCAAAACTGATCAAAAAAAAGTCTGAAAATATGTGCAATGTACCATATCCATGGACCTCTTACCTCTGCAAAAGAGTGGGATGGGGGTGTCTTCTCACATTTCTTCTTTGGAGTTGTGCTGGTTCTTGGCAATTTTGCAACATTCACTTTTGATTGCTTTGTGGTTTTCCTCTCTGTTTGCATTGCTGTAGTCATGTGTATTGTTTCCTTGGCTCTGCTTACTTCATTCTCATCAGATTAGGTAAATCATTCCATGCTTCTCTGTATTCATCACAGTCATCATTTCTTACAACACAGTAACATTCCATTATATTCATGTACAACAATTTGTGTAGGTAGTCCCCACTTGATAGTCATCTACTTTGCTTCCAGCTCTTCGCTATCACAAAAAGTGCTACTATAGATATTTAGGTGTATACAGGGACTTTCTTCATATCAATAACCTCCTTGGGGCATAAGCCTTTAGTGTAATTTCTGGGTCAAAGAACATGGACATTGTAGTCA